TTAATTGATTTGATGTGGATTGTAACCATGGGAGGACGAAGAAGAGAGGGAAAGAGTGAAAGACTGACTAGGTAAGGATGTTGGAAGTCCCATTTAGAACGCTCGGGTTGATTGCGTCGGCCGTTCCATACGGCTGATGGAACGGAAAACCAAAAAGAGTCAGATAATCTATTGGGAAGGCGGAAGGGGTGGGGGGGGAGGGATTAGAGCTTACGATTGATGAAAGGGGTGCCGACGCAAAGAGCCTCGAGTGCAGTAGAAGGTTGAACGGGCCAACCGAGGCCGATGACGGCCTTATGATGCTGCAATTCGTAGATGAATTGATCGCGAGCTTGGGATCCGATATCGATGATGCCGTCGAAGAGTTGGTCCTTGGGCTCGAGAGCCCGACTATCCAAGCCCTTGAGTTTCTCCTTCTGTTGGGTGCCGATGGTGAACTGGACGCCGGTCTTGTTGGCCAAGGATTGCCACATCGTCTCCGGATAGAGCGTCGGCGAGGGCGCATGCAGATAGCTGCGGTCTTTCCCTAGGATGTAGATCTTGTTGCTTCGCTCCTGCGCTGGGACTACCCCGAACTTGTGGCAGTAATGCTCGATCGTCAGGCCTAGATATGTGTAGTTCTTCTCTTCCTCTGTTTGAGGCCCTCAACCTCTTGGTCAGCTTTTTCGGACCTGATGCTGCTTTGTTGCGTTATCGTGGCTTACGGGGATAAAAGGTCAAGTGCCATTTCCTGCCCAGCGGATGTCCGACATCTCTGCAATCAAACAAAGATCCACGAAATCAATCCACTGTTGCTATTTTTGTGTTCCCCGCATTACCAGCCAAGACGATAATCACTCACTGTCCAAATCCTGTTTCCAACAGAACAAACAAAAAAAGAACGACCGAATTTTTTCAGCTTCACTTTTGATCCCAAACTGTTTTTGTTTATCCATATGAAAAAGAAGAAGACGATCTTACCGTCAAAGATGAACAATTTATGAGGAGGGATTCCAAGCGGCTTATCATTGGACTCGACGCAAGCCTTATTATGAAGACACTGAGGGACTGGCAAGAGTAGTTGGAGAGAGTTTCAGAATACATTTCACGGATTCCTAACCAAAATAATCAGATTGTTAGAGAGGATGAGAAGACGGCATACTAGAGAGATAATCGCCGATGACCATCTTGACGTCCGGTCCGAGAAGCTCATACACTTCGCCGAGCCGAGTGTTAGTCTCGTTATGGTCCGCGCCGGTGACGACCAAGAAGGGGTATTCGAGTTGGTTGAGGGCCCACATGAACGCATCGGCCCCTTTTGTTTTTATCCCAATTTTTTTGTGGTCAATAATCTCTTCCAACAACAATGTCTGGACATGGTGTTTTTGGTAGGAAGAAGGATAGGTGTGTGTGTGAGAACTAACAGATGGCTTCGCCGGCCGGGAACGAGGCCTTTTGGGAAAGAGGCCGTCGAGACTCGGCTGAAATTGAACGGTGCCAGAAGAACTAGCGCCACAAATGGAGCGAGCACCAGTCAGAGCGGGGATGACCAAAGGAAGAGGGGGAGCACGGACTGATGTTTTTGTCAGAGGGAGTACAGGAGCGATGTCGACCGAGGGAGTTTTTACAGCCCGATCAATCTAGCGAGTTCGTCCTGATGATTTTTGCGCCAGGAGTGCATGGCGGGGGAATAAGGGATCAGTCTGCGCGCGGATTCTCTGGCATGAAGGAAGCCGAACTGGGACTGATTGAGTGGACGCGGGTAGAGTGATTTGGAGGACTGTCGAGCGGTCCGGGATTGTCGGGAGTGTTGGGGCTGGTTGAGTGATGATGATGATGAGGGAGATGGAGTGGTCAGGTAGCGGAGGGTCAGATAGACTAGCGAGAGCGTCAGACAGATCCATAGTGGTGACTTGGGCCGGGTCGGGATGGCTCTCATTTTGGTTGGGTTCTTCGATCGTCTTGTTTTGGTTTTAGGTGTTTGATTTTTGTATGTAGTCCATCCAGATATTCTTTGTGTCTGGTTGATGGTGGGCTTTCCTTTGATGGGGTTGCTCTACTCTGTGTGTTTGATGAAGAAGTTGATGGGGAATTGGGTTTCGGATGAGTGGGTTGTGAGTATGTACAAGTTGGATGGGATGGGATGATGTCACCCTCCACAGACTCACGCCTATGTACATAAAGTGGAGGAGGGCGACTTAAAACCTGTCAGAGATCTCCGCCCCTTGTTCTGGGGTGGATGGATCGAAGTGTTTCGAGAACTCAGTCGCCACCGTCGTCGTCGTACATTGAAGTGTGTGAAGCAACAACAAGGAATATGGCCATCTGAATACGGAGCACAGATTGCAGACGGAGGTGGTGAACTGCATGTCTTGTCCCAGTTGGAGTTCAGGAGTGTACGCAGTCCAGAGTGCTCATGGGGTTGGGCTGATTGCTTCCTCATCATCCCTATTACTCCCAAGACATCAAAAGAACGACTCAGCTGGGAGCACCTAATCAGGAGATGAGCGATCCTATCAAAACACAACCGAATCCTTAATCCAGTCATTCATCACCTCTCCTCCTCCTCTACAGTGTTGGGCTTCATCAATCCAACATCCCCTTCTTGGTTTATTTTTTGTTCACTCTTGTTTCTATGTAAGGTGGGGGAAGACCTCTTGTAGTTATAAAGAACAAAAAAACCCTGATTCGACAAAATGGGATTCAAGTCGTACATTTTGTAGTGCGCACATTCAACAAACATAACCTTGGCTCTTTGCCATTTGGCCAAAGCTCAAGGATATTGAACGCCTACATAAATGATTAATAATTTGTGTACAATTTAGCCCCACTCTCTAGAGGGGGGGGGGGGGGCTCTATGGAAGCAAGAGATGGGGCACATCCTACAGAGCGAAACTTTAAAAGATGGATTTGTTTTTTTATGTACGCAGAGGAGCGAAATTTCCGTGAGAAACAAGGATGATGATGGGAACATGCACAGTTGATTGAAGCGGACCAGCCAGCCCAACGCGTCGGCCATTGTCCACACCCCTCCTCAAAGCGGCCAGCCATCGGCATGACCATGATCTCTCGGTTCCGGTTTTGCACCCTTTATAAGTCAAGCACTCATCTCCATCAATCTAACGCAGATCTCTCCGTCTTTCGCGTCCAGCTATATACTCATTTACTAATTGCTTCGATTACCTTAGGGCAATCATTTCAAATCGTTCCCCGTACGTCGGCCCTCATCCGCGCTCATGATCTCTTTTAAACAATCTGAAGGAATAATCATCCATTGCTAGTCCATTTTGATATACTTATATATGTAACAAGAACCAAGCAGGCTTATTGTTGTTGTTTTCTTTCGGTCATTCACAATCGATACAATATAAATATATAGCAATCACTCGAACAAGTATTTTTTGTACTATATATATAGCTGCGTCCAAGGATATTCCACTCTATAATAATTTTGATATATAGGAGAGAGAGAGAGAGAGAGAAAACACCATGGTTGGGCCGACTGATTGTCACCGCACCCGCTCCGACCTGGGTCTCGGAGCCAGTCATTACCTCACCGGGAGGTCGGTCTTCACCGAGGCGAGCATCGACACTCACCTCGAAAAGCGCGCCGTACTCAAGTTGGATCTTTTGTCAGTAATATCTCTCTCTCTAAAAATCACATCTTTCTATTTTTATCTTCTTAACAAGTCTTCATTGTATGCGTCGCGTCGGGGGTTTTTTTTTTTTCAATTTCTTGGAATGTATGGACACTACATTGTCATCGAGACAGACTCCTGCCTATCTTGGGCTTGTTCTTCTTGTTGAGTGCGTTGGATCAATCAAACATTGGTAAGTCGCCTTTTCCTTTCCCCTCCGTTGGATTTGGGAAAAGAAAAATCGCTGTTAATGTTCACTGATCTTTTTTGGAATTGTTTGGGAAAAACAAAAAAGGGAATGTACGGTATAATCGGTGAGGAATGAATCCAATCTGATGGTAGAATAATTGGGGTAACTAATGAACGAGTTGATACGTAGGACTTCCAACAAGATCTCAAGATGACCAATCATGA